TTCCAGATACATTTCCACAAGAAAAAAAAATATGTGCCAGAAAATGGGGCTGGGGAGTTGATGATGATAAGAAATCTCAGTGGAAAATTGATGAGGGAGACTAGATTGTGAATCTCAGTTACCCTCTCTCAGGCTCGGAGGAAGGCAAAGGCAAAGGCAAACCCACTCTGAACAAATCTTGCTGAGAAATGCCAGTGATACATTTGCCTTAGGGTGACTGTAAGTTGGAAATGACTTGAAGGCACACAACACACAAGGTTAATCATTTCCTGTCACCCATCATTTATCCACTGGAAAATGCCACATTGCTTGATTGAGAAAAAAGCAACTAGCAAGATTTTTCTCACATTTGTTTGCACAATGTTTTGTTCCATTCTTGTGAGAAAGAAGATATGTACTTATTAAAGGAGAATGAAATTTTGGGAGAATGAAACTTGAGCCAAACCCAACTTACAAAAGGAAATAACACATTGTGGGGCAACACAGGGCTGGGGGGGGTATTTCATTTAAAAATCTGGCATGTTCCTACATCATAACATGAATGAGCTGGAATTAATCTCCACTGTTGCTTTCAGCTGGGAGGTAGCAGCAAAAGTAAACAGGAATAATTTATAAAGGAACTTCATTCAAGGAATATTTCAGTGTCCAGAAGTTATTACAGAGTTATACTTCAGCTGTGTGAAATCTAAATAATTCACTGCACTTGATTTTCCCCACAGAGGGAGACCCAAACCTACCTTTCAGCTACTGCCAGTGTTCTTTTAAGGAAAGTGATATATTCAAGTGATATATTCAGCAGCTGAAAAGACATTCACCTTGAACCATGCTAATACCCTGCATGAACCCAGAATCCTCAGTGACATCACATGTGAATTCTGGAAAGTGCTGTCAGTTTGCATAGGAATAAAATTGCCCAACATTATCTAGGGCAGTGAATGTGTGTGTGAAGGGAAGCCAGACATTTAGGCTTTCCTTGACTGATCAGCTTAGCATCGGTATTTAAGAAACATTGAGACAGCATATGACATTCAGGTATAAGAGCTGTTCAGCAGTGGACTACGGTAAGTAACCTTAGAAGATGACAGATTCTCTTTGTTAAAGCTTTTAAAACCTAAATGCCATTTAGGTATAAGAGATGTTTGACAGTGGACTAGGCAACCTCAGAAGATGACAGATTTGTTAGTGTGTGGATGATGAGTGTTGTAGTGATGCCTTTTGGCACCC